GCACACACACACACACACACACACACACACACACACTTACTTGTCCAAGTGGCCTGATGACAGGGTAGTTGTCGCTGATACTACATGTAGTTCAAGAATGTTTTGTTGGGGCGACTCTTGTAGTGGTATAGAGATTACGTGGGAACTGTTTTATGAGCTCATTTCCAGAACAATGACCATGATACTATGATTAATAGTAATATAAAACAGTCATTGTATAACGCATTTCCGCGCTCGACAGCAATCTCTATGTGCTTTACACTAAATTCTTACCCCAGCAGATCCTACAGCATTCTTGGTTTTCTGGGAAGCATAAAGTACAAGCAGCTGAATAAGCGCTCAGACACCAACAAACTTACACAATCTTTCGCTGTCTATAGCCGAGTACCCATTTCCAGGTCGATGAAGTGAGAAAAAGAAGTGCTGTGATTATCACCAAAGACTACTCACATCACTCTTTATCGAGAACCTCTTGCAGACATTAGTATAAATTCAAGTACTTTAGCTGCTTTGTCTCCAAAACTGCAGCCTGCGTTGACAATGTCGACCAAAGACTTCAAAATATAGGGTCGCTTTTGTAAAATTAAAAACCATCTGAATTTCAAAGATCATTTCATTGAAGATAAACTTTCAAAAAAATACAATAGCAATGGTTTGGCTGTACTGACGTATGGTCCGGAGATGTGGAAAACAAAACAATTCAACGAAAATTAAATGATTCCAAACAAAATGTTTGCAAAGAATGTTATTAACAAAATGGAATGAATTTGTTACATACAAATATCGAGCTGCTGGAAAGATCTGGAATTTAAGATATGAACACAACCTTAAAACGGAAAAGATGGAGATATTGAGGACATGTTTTATGAATGCCGAAGACAAAGTTGCCCTTTCAGATGACATTGGAGACCAACTGGAAAAAGAAAAAGAGGTACACCAACTGGAAGTTACAGAGGCTAAATTACGGATGAGGCAATCGCTCAGGGCCTGGATGTGCCAAAATTGGAGAACGTGACCAGGGACAGGCAAGCGTGG